AAACTGTGTACGAGAGTTTTTAATTTAAGGTCTCGTTTTTAAGTTATTCATATGCGAGTCTTTGTCGAAAAGATGGCAGAAAATGTAACTTTTAACTTTAAAGGCAAACATCTTCGCACTTTAGGCTTTAATCGGAAATCTTTCGTCTTAAGATTACATTATTTAAATTTTTATCAAATGAATATCGGCTGCTTAAACGTTTTCCCCCTGACACCTTAATTAAACAAAATATTACAGTGAAATTAATAGGAGGTATTAAAGAAATATAAAAAAAGATCTTAAGGAATTAAAATATTAAAGAACAAAGCGGAAGGAAAATACATAATTAAAACAAAAGAAAAAAATGAATAAGAATCTATACATATAATATATATTTTATTGAGTGTGGCGGATCTCTCCAGGGCGTTCCACTGTTCTTTGAATGCAAAGACTTTTTCCGAGAACTCTTCTGCAGTTTCGCACTCGTAAAGGCAACCATCAGGCCCACATCTTGGTCCACCAAAAATATCAGCCAATATCCCTCGCTTCTCAAATGCTGGGAATTTGAGCTCATCCAACTTCCGTTCAATGTTTGCTTTTACGTGCTCAAAGCTAAGGAGATGCACGGTACCCAATGTCTCAGATAAGATGCCATTGTACACAGCACTATCTTCGTCCGTTCAAAGAACCTTTAGCTTTTCGTGAGCAGGACATCCTCGTTTTACGGCTTGCCAAAAGTGCTGGAATTCATCTTGGCCCTTGCTGCGGTGTACTAGTAAGGGTCCTGGAAACCACGGATGTTTCCCTGTGCTTTTTGTCACGAGGCTTAAGTTCATGTATGCTGTCTAAGTAAAGTAATATTCATTAATATTAAACGTCATATCGACCACAAAGGGACAACTTCCCTAATCAGTTGTACAAAACCTCTCGACATCCTTCATCGTTTGAGTGAGATATGCTACGATGGAAGGCTGGTTACAGTGGCGAAGAATGAACTCTTGTATATAAGGCTGTGACCTGTCTAAAATACTGGAAGTACACTCAGTACTCTGGTTGAGTAACTCCATTATTATATCCTTGATGTCGTCACCTTTCTTTATTCTTGAATCTCCATAGTCATACCTGTAAATAAATATAGATATGTATAAATATGCACATTTAAATATATATAAGTGAAAGAATCAAAGAGGACGCATCGATTCTCTGTTACTCTGAGTTTCGCGCCTAAGCGCTCGTCAGACAGAACTTTCGTATATACTACAACTATATATACTCAGCTCTGCTACCACGGCATTGAGCATTTACACATTTAAATATATATATTTAACAATTATTCACGAAATCGAGTCGACGAAGCCGAGCGACGAGATCGAAGCATTTTGTTTAGTTTTACTCACGGTACATCAAAGCGCGATTGTTCTTATTCAGTACATGTACAGTACACATCCACCCACACTTTGATCCCCATACAAAGTAATAGTGTACATGTACAGTAAACACCCACCCACACTCTGATCTTAAAAAGTAATTGTGTACATGTACAGACACCAACCCACAATTTGATCTTAAAGAGTAACAGTGTACACTTCGATCTTAAAAAGTAATAGTGTACATGTACAGACACCAACCCACACTTTAAAATACTAACAAGGTTATTCTTTGGTTTAGCATGGTAAAATCACCACTCTATTCTTCATTAAGCTGATGGTGTACGTACCTGCAATTTGTAACCTGTTTAGGATCTCTGATAACTGAACAATCTGAGTCAGCATCAAGAATGTCAATCTGCTCCGTGAACTCTTGAGCAATAATCCTTGGTGCTCTTCTGTCAGTACCTGCCTTCGTTCTTCATTCAACTTTTAATGAATTTTCTCGAGGCCCGAACTCTGTTGCTGTTGACCCTGGCTTGACATTTCCATGAGTGTCCCCATGGACACATACGTTCTCACTACTTTTAAAATAGTAGTGTACAATCAAGAATGGACAGGTTAGATGATAAGTGCCGAGATCTTTTAACTTTCCATTTACTTTGTTATGGTCCATAAGTGGCATCAAATAGTTGATCACTCTTGTAAAACAAGAACCCTCTTCAGCTTTTGTCTTTTTATGGACAGCTTTCCAACTGATCACGGCATAAACATTGTTGATATTTGCGACCTTGGCATTCCGTCCCGTGGAGTCCTCACGTTGTATGTCCCTGAAACAACATTTCCTTGTGCGTCGCAGGACACATGTACCTCGGTGCCGATTTCAAACTCTTCAGGATCTTTGTTGAAAATTTCGAAGAAACGAACTCTGTCCTTTTTCACAAATGTGAAAATATTATTATTATCATTAATAACACTGGACGTAGAGAATTGCCATTCCTCTGTTCATATCAAACAAGTGAACATGTCCATGATGTAGTATGCTAAATCCTTTGAAGTTACCATGAAAGAATCAGTCAAAAGGGTGACACAATGGGCCGCGTTTTATCAAACAAGTAGAAAGTCATGGTACCCTAAATCAGAGGAGACAATACCATTTTGTAAAGTCCCTTTGATAAAGCCACTTCCCATCGTCGATATGTTTAAAGCAAATTGCGATATTATGCGGAATTGGGCTTCGGCGTATGGAGCAGCATTGCGACAGCGGACAGTGCGCCAGAAGACGACCGTGACAAAACATGGCACTCTCCCCGAGTTTATATACCAATCATAGCTGTTGTTAAACCAGTGAATGACAGCGAACCACCCGGTTCTTTGTAAGACGAAGCACAACCAGTCGACATCATCGTCGACCACATCGATAGACAAACGATAAACTGCTAGTGTTAGTCACCACGATGACTAACTGTATAACCTTTTATTGTGAAATAGAAAATGGACTTGAAGCAAAAAAACTAGACGAAGAAAGTCGCGAAATGAGAGGGAACAAACTGCGAACTTCATTATTTGTGGGAATACATTCTAACTTCAGAGGACGCAAGACTGACCTTAGGGAAACACTGTCGTATCACTTAGCAGCAGTAACTTCTTTGGCTCATCTGAGCTGTCATGTATTTATAATGACGGAGAATGCGGAGAATGCGATTGGAATGTCTTGTGATGTGTTTCTCGTGTTTGAAAAGTAGAAGTAATGGTATTGACGTTTTAAAAAAAAACATTTAGACAAGGTAAATTTTGCTGTGTCGGTGTGTTGATAATATTTCTTGCGGTGATGCGGTGTTTGTTCTATTTTGTTTGCGGTATTGCGGTATTGAGAACCCTCATGTCTCCCTCCGTATAGTACACATCGCGAGCACTGACACTGTCCGAGAGAAACTGGGCCCAGATCGAAAAGGAAGCCCTATCTGTTTTGTATTGCCTAGAGAGATTTGACCAGTCCACGTATGGCAGACCTGTAAAAGTTGAGAATGATCACAAACCTCTGGCTGCCATATTACGAAAGCCTTTGAGCCAAGCACCCAAGCATCTTCAGGACATTAAGATGCGGTATCACAGATACGATATCCATTTTGCATTTGTTAAGGGTACTGACTTGCTCGTTGTTAACACACTGAGTAGAGCTTACTAAGATGAAGGCGAAAATGACCATGATGGCCGTGCTCGAATCATGAATGTCAAAGTTTTTGGTGACATCCCAGACAAGCGACTTGATGAGATACGTGACGCGACCTCGTGTGATTCTAGTCTGCAGGCTGTGATGAAGTTAGTGTTGGAAGGATGGCCAGCAGGTAAGCGTCGAACTCCTGTGTGCGCGTTGCCATATTTTGATATACGAGACTGTCTAAGTGTAGTGGATGGAATTCTGAGTAAAAGGAGAAGCAATTGTGATTCCCATGGCTCTGAGACCATCAATCAAGAGAAGAAGTGCCCATCTAGGCCGTGATAGTATGTTGCATCAAGCCCGAGGAACAGTGTACTGGCCCAACATGGCCTCTGACAGCAAGGAAATAGCCGACATGTGTGAGACATGCCAGGAAATGAAACCCCGAAATTCACCAGAACCACTCAAGCAGCACAGTGATGGCGACGAACCGTGGCAAAAGATTGATATTGATTTATTTGAAATTGCCGGAAAGCACTATTTGGCAATGGTAGACTACTACTCAAATTTCATGGAGATTGATTTACTCACAACGATGACGAGTGTACGTATTGTAACATTACTCAAGAAACATTGCGCTCGTTATGGCATACCGAGAATGATTGTGTCGGATGGAGGTCCGCAGTTTACCAGCCAGGAATTCAATTCATTTGTGGACTCATAAAGTACGCTACAGTAAGCCAATCAGAATCCCTGTTGGAATGGTTCAAATAATCCGATTGGCTGTACAAGACTAAAGCTGTCAAATATGTCAAACCATCAAAGTTTATATTCTGCAATAGTTTACAAACTAACATAGTTCGGCATGTCGAAATTAACAATTTTGCCTGAAGTTTTTTAGTTTCTAATACAGAATCTGAAAGTGAAATGTTCGGTGAAATTCGGCCCAATTGTGGCTCACAAAAATTCGCAAGTTATTTCACATGACATGTAGAAAACAAACTGGTTTTCTGTTTTGTTTTTGAACACGAAATCTTATATACTATACAAGTTTAGCTGTGTTTGATTTTTATTACCGTATGTAAACTTGCAATCTACCTAAAACCTTTAAAACGTGAAAACCTTTAAAGCGTGAAAACCTTTAAAACTCGGACTGTCCAATTTGTTTTATCTTTGAGGATTTTTGTCTCTGCTCATGTTACAGTAACGTAAATGACTGCGCCTGGCATTTTTGCGAACCTTTGCTGGCTTGTTCCGAAATTTCACTTTCAATTAACGAAAGAAAAGCTAGAAAGAAGTCCCGGAA